CACACCTGTAGAAGGAGGTGAGGACTGAGCTTCCCAGACCAGCTCGTCTCAGCCGTCTGAGGAAGTAGAGTCTCTGATGAGCTTTCTTGATCAGGCTGGTAGTGTTGTTGCCCAGCTGAGGTTGTCATTCAGGTGCACAACCAAGTACTTGTAGCTGGAGACCACTTCCACCGCAGATCCTCCTATGATCGAGGGGTGGGGGTGGGAAGTGGGGCGTAGGTGTGTTTGTTCCTTCTGAAGTCCACGACCATCTCCTTCGCATGTATTAATTTCCAAATCTATTTCACGTTTGCATGCATACATTTGTGATATTTTTCATTTTTTCTCTTAAATCAGATGAAACATGCTGTCCCACATGACCTTATATCCTTTTGTTTGTCTCTATGTGGCCCTATGATGGACTGGAGACCTGTCCAGGGTGTCCGCCGCCTCTTGCACATTGATAGCTGGACATGGGCACCAGTGACCCCCCCATGACTCGAAAAAGAAGATGCGGGTAAATATTATGGATGGATGGAAAATGGGATGGGACTTTTTTTTTAATTAGCAAAAACTGTTAGAGCTTCTATGTTAACAGCAGTAACCTGTTGTAAGATTTTGTATTTTATTCAACATCAGAAGAAAGTAAATATACATACAAGCTGCCATTTTATTTACCAGCAGAGTTTAATCCAGAAGATTTGATGGTGCAGGGATACCAGATCAGCTTTATACAATAAAACATCAATAAGCACAAAAAGACTAGAAATAAGGGAAAATGCAAACATCCACGCCAAGAACAGATTAATCATCATGTAACAAAACCGTGAACAAATCACAAAATGACACCTTTTGTTTATAAAAATGCTGAATGGGAGCTGTATAATTAACATTAAGAAGAAGCCAAACAGAAGAAACAGGAAAAGCCTTTCATCCTTTCTGAAAAGTTGCTTAAATAAGTAAGATTAAAAAAACATAAATTTACATGTTTTAGCAAAATTGCATCTTTCTGTCTCACATTAAACAAAAGGTGTTCCAGTTAAATAATAATTTTGATACATCCCTGTATTACCATTAAATATATATATTTAGGAATTATTATTTAAAACATGTTCATTTCCTTGTTTGTCCCTTGCACTCATTGATTTTTCTCCTTTTGAATTCTGTGCCGTCACAGTCAGGAGCCACCGAATTTACCGTGTGCATGGATGGATAATGCTCGGTGAGGGAGACGGCAATAATCTGATGAATTTGTCTCTTTCAAGCTGTGAGATGACCTGGGTTTTATTTGTCCAGAAATAAAAAATGACGGTACAAAGATCACAGCGGGTAATAGCAAGACGCCAGTCTTTCTTGGTTATTTGTTGCCGCAATGTGAGCAGTGATATTAGGGGGGGATGGCAAATGCTCTGTCCTCTTTAAAGAGACTTCCCCCCCTCAAAAGCATCATGATTAGAAAGTATAATGAGACCAGACACCCAGGAAAGATCATCACTATAGAAACACCTGAAAAATAAATTAGTAAGTGTGCATATTTGTTCCATGGAGCTATCGATTCCCCTAAAGGCACACAAGATGGACTCACGATGCTCTTTCTTTCTGGCCTTACACACATTTTAATTATTTAACACACACACACCGCTCTGATCCTTTCAACACAAAGTCATTGATTTAGAAAATGGCACGGCGTCATCTTTTCATTTGCGACCACAGTATGTGTGCACACACTTGTGCTATTTGTAAATCGGAGTGTGAAATACCTGATGATGGGTTCCACTTCAGCGTATAACATGCATTTGAATGCACATTACAATTCCTCCTCTCAGGTTTGCACAATATTTTTTGTGTGCATCAAAATATAAAATACATGCAAACTTTATAATTAGGATAACCTTTGATTTGTTCCACAAATGTCAGCTGTATGATAAACAAATTAAGGAATGACTGGCCAGAGAGCAGCCAGTCACACAGAGGCACACTAGTTTTCATGTTTAATTGCAACGAGTTTGGAATATCTAATAAGAGGATAATTAGATGGGACATATATATGATTTTTTTTAAAATGATTTAAACAAAAATAGATTAAACAATGACACGCTGATCTAAAATCTACCAGGTATTGCATATTGTCACAGAAAGACAAAACTCTTCCTTTTATATATCAAAATTATAAGAAAACTATTTTATTGTCGTATTTGTTCATTTTAAAAGTCCTCTGAGTCTCTTCGGATCACCGCCTCATGCCAAAGGCAAATCAGTTTATATAGCACACTTCATGATATGTCAATTTGACGTGCATTTATTTTAAAATGTACTATTTAAACAGAAAAAATATCATAATTCAATTTACAAATACTTTATTGATCCCAAAGGGAAATTAAATGTAACTCATCATCCTGGTTTCATTCAAGAGTTGTTATAGATGCTGATGACTGTGGGCAGGAGGGATCTACCGCAGTGGATCCAAAGAATCTGGCCACAGATGCCAATTTGTCCACCAGGACCCAGCAGGTCTTTTGGTCCTCCTGTGCAGCAGGACCACCCGAATGCCAAGCAGAACTCTTCCCCAAGCAATGGCCACTCCTCTCCAACATGCAGCCACCTGGAGCGGCACAATTCTAGAAAATAATAAGAAATAATAATGAGAAAATTAACAGAATCTTTAACTAAGAGAATGAAAATCAAAAGTGAATAGGAGATAATTTATCTCATTAAAGCATATTTACTTAAAAAAAAAAACCCACAGTAATATGTCTGAATTACAGCCAAACTGTTAAAAATGACAGTGCATACATTAAAACATAGCAAAGCTGAAAACAAGAAATAAAATTGTGTGAAAAGGTTTGGTTTAATGTTCACACATAGATGCATTTCTGCAGACTTGGATCAAACCTGGGTTGAATTATACGACCTCTCCACCTGACAACCTGCCAGGTCCAAACACAGCGAGTCTTATTTCATCCTCCATATGTATGTTTTATCATTCAAGCCTCCATTCGTTTTAATTAATCCTTCTGAGTTTGTGCCAGTCTCCTCCTGCTCCGAGCAGCCGTGTGGCAGATGAATGAATACATTTTGTTTGCTATTAAGTGAAAATAGACCATCATGGCTTGTGTGATGAGACAAACTGTCCCTCTGTGACAATAAAATACAACAAAACTCACACAAGACAAAAAATAAATAAATAAAAAATGTGACAGGATGAAAGACTTGTCACAGAAAATGTAAAATGAACTGAAATTAAATTAGCCTGTTGCACTGACAGGAAACACTTGTGTTATTTAAAAGAAAAATACAGATTACCTCCTTATTTTGATGTAACTCTGAAAGAGGAAGAAATAAACAAATGTCTAACAAGATTCATGTATTTATTTAAAAAAAAAAAAGATTAAACTCCTTCCATTCATGTTTCCATTCAAACCACACTTTATCGGAGCGTAAATATATATTTAATTTTATTTCTATCAAATCAGATAGTACAAGTAAATTAATAATTTACCCAATTAATGCAATAAACCGGCTTTGAAAACTTTATGGTGATTTCACGAGGTCCATTTGTCTGGACTTTACAACCAGACATCGTTTTTTTACTCTCAGAGCCTAAGGAATCGCATCAATCTGATGGTTGCTGTAATAAAACCTGGCAGTCTTTGCAAGTATAATGGATTTTTTTTTTCTTCCTTTTGATGGATTGTTGTTCACATGACTCAGAAATAGTCTTTGTTCTCTAAAATATCCATCCATGTAAAAATGTTTTATTTGAAAAGACCTCTAACTGCACATAGCTTCACATTCTGCAGCATAAAGGCGCCTCACAAGTGTTTAGTCTGATTGGTGTTTGAATAACTTTCCTAATCAATGACTTGATTAGGGGATAAAACACAAGGTTCGTTAAGCTACTTATTTTTAAAATGACCCTTTTCTCTTGAAAATGTGAGCATCCCCTCCCCAGAAAGTGGTCAGTTTATGAATTATATTTCAAACAGGCAATAAAAAAAATAAGACTTCTCCTTTTCTTAATGGGAAAAGGGTGAACAGAATCATTGTGAATGTGTTTGTGTCCCATCTGCTGGTGAAGCTTTGAAATTACCTTGCATGATGAGGGGAAAAGGATTTGGGGCAGTACAGTTGGCAGAGCTGCTGCCTCTCAGCGAGCAGGTTGCCTTGTTCAAATCCCGGCCGGAGCCTTTCTGGGTGGAGTTTGCACGTTCTCTCCGTGCATGCGTGGGTTTCGTCTGCGTACCACCAAAACTATGCATGTTAAGCTAATTTGTAGCTCTAAATTGTCCTTAGGTGAGAATGAAGTTATTTCTATGTGTCCCTATGATGGACTGGAGACCTGTCCAGGGTACCTCGCCTCTCACACAGCGATGGTTGGACATGGGCACCAGTGACCCCTGCAACCCGAAAAGAAACGAGTAAAGATGATGGAAGGATGGACCTCTGATTGAAGTGGTACAAAAAGCCATTGAATGAACAGATCTGTACAGCGGAGCAATAAGTAAACATCAGTCTATATTAAAATCATTAAACATATAGAAGCATCTGCAGCCTAGATTCAAAAATAATTTTTCAGATGACCTCTTGGAAGTCTAAAATTAGATTTTCTTGAAAGAAATGAAAAATATCCAGCTGACTCCAGCTTCATCTGGGCTCCACAGACGCGCTGAGAGCCACAGGCTTTTCTTCAGAGAAGTCATTTTAAAGATGTTTTCACATCTAATTAATCTCATTGCTTACTGTATGGCCATGTTATGCCATTACTTATTCACTGACAGACATATTTCAAATATTTATATAGAATTTTAGCTGTTATTCCTTTTGAAACTTTATACCCAAAATTTATCAATTAGCGTAAAGAATAACTTAAAATGGTATATCTGAACGAAATATATATTTTGAACGCCTACCATTGTGTATTATTTTACTGTTTTTTTCTTACTTTTGAAATGTAGAAAATGTAACAACCAGATAATTATTAACAAAAAGTGCTTTTAGGTCCAAAGAGTCAAAGCCAGACGTTTTTTTTTTTTGTATCATTCATGATTTATTTAGAACTTTTAAGGCACTACATTATGATAGCATTTCACAAGGCAGCCAAAACACAAATTACATTTAAAAACATCGTCTTTCACCCCGCTAACCTAAAGATGTCACATGACGAGTGAACGTAAAGGCTTCCTATGATAACCACCTAAAACGATCCAATCTGAAAGGGTTCTGACCACACAGGAAAAAAGCCTGCATGTTTTGTTCCATGAAATGTTCAGAAGATAAAGTGCAAGAAGCACAAACCCCCACCCCCGACTGGTCGGCCACAGCAGCCTGGTGAGACGCCATGCACCCAATCTTTATAGTCTAATTAATTTTTATTATAAAAATGTTACAAACCCCTGAGCAACAGGTCAGGACATCTCTTCCTTACTATTGAAGAAATGTTTCCGTTATGAATATGTCTTACCTGGAAACTGGCTTGAATCAACAGTGCAGCCTCACATCATTTAGTCCGGCGTTTGCTCCATTCAAGCTGCAGCTGAGTTCAGATTAGATTATTTACATGTGCAAGTGACAGGAACAAAGTACAACTGGATGAAGAGTGGTTCCTCTGATCTGATCTGATCTGTATGTGTGGGCTTCTGAACCCAGTTCTCAACTAGCTTAGCTCAAAAAGTCAGGTCAGCTTTGGCAAAAACACACACAAAAAAAACACTAAGCTTAATTCTGTTTAAAAACTAAAAATCAAGCTACTTTGATTTTTGCTCCTTTTAGGTTTTAGTCATTGAACTTTGGGGGACTACAGTGCTAAATTAGTGCAATAGTCGTGTAACAGAAACATTTTTCTGGCTCAGAAAAAAACCATAAAAGCTTGAATCTTTACATAGAATAGCTAATTATTTGCAAAACAAAACATCCTTATTTAAACATGCTGCAGAATACTTGTAGTGCAGTATGTAGTGCTTGATGGTACAAACTACAATGAAAATGCACTAATATCAAAGAGTACAAATCATGCAGAAGATGTTAGTATCAGTAATTTGGCATCATTTTCCCCGCAATCAGATTAGATAATTTTAAGTCACTGACAATAATTAAATTGTTGATAACCGATACAAGAGTTGACTTATTATTGCATAAATCAGCAGGTGAGAAGGGCCTGGCATTTTCTATCGAGGAAAAAGAAAGAGAGATCTCCTATGACACGTCGTCTGTCTCCTCAGCCTCCACCAGGCAGGACTGGTCTGGATCCAGGACTCGGAACGGAGGGTGGTACTCGAACGCTGTGAAGATGGTGGAGCCAAAACTGTGCTTCTGGTGCAGAAACCAAATCACTGCAGAGACGCCCACGATAGCCACCACGCTGAGGATGACCAGGGCAGAGATCAGCGTGCTGGGTTCTGTGGAGAACAAGACAATGCAGGGAAGGTCCCGACTAAATCCTCAAAGCCACAGGAAGAACTCAAAGAAACAACAAAGAGCTCAAAGGTTGACTTACTCTGTTTGGCTTGCTTTGTTTCTGAAAGAACAAACCCAGAATGCATTGTGAGACAACGACCATAACAATCCCTTTAAATATCACACTTTAAATAAATCCAGAAATGGTAACACACAATGAAAGTTATTTAAACTAAGTGCTTTTTTTTAAGAAAGGATTCCTCACCTTGGATGGTCTCACAGACCACTCCGTTCTCCACGTCGTCTACGCAGCTTACATTTTCCCACTTCCCGGTGTCGCTGTGCAGAGCCGCACACGTTTCTGTTGGCAGGAGGTCCGATGGATCGCCGCTCTCCCAGTTAGTGAACGTAACAGGTTTCTCATTTAACCACCTCATGTCCTCACCTGAGCAGACAAACGGCAACAACTTGCACTTAGACTAGGAGCTGTGTTGAATTTGGAAAACATGCAGTATGCATTCACATCACATGTGGTACATGAGGTGTGTACCCAAGGTCCTAGTTACACCTAAAAATAGCAAAAATATAAAGTATAAAAATCAAGACTGAAAATAAAATTTGTTGCAGAATTATTGTCGTTGGCCTTTCAAAGACAACCGATCAACTAAAAGGTTAACTTTTATTCAGTTTATGTTAACAACTGAGACTGGTATACTTAGACCAGTTCAATTTATGCCATTCATGAAGTGCTTGCAGTTTGGCAAAGAGAAGCTGGAAAGGACCGTTGGCACCATAAATGTTTAAGTTGAACATAAACATCAAAAGTCAGAATGTTCATCTAAAAACGCTTGATCACTGTGAAAACCTTTGGAAACCCCCCAGTTGACTAAATTGATGGGTTTGTCTGATTAATGATGATGAAAGGTTTTTCTGCATTGTCGTTGAACCAGTTTGTTCCTGATTTGTTCTCGTACACTTAAGCATAGTTGTTTAGGCTAGGACTGAACGATTTAGGAAAATATTCGAATGCGATTTTTTTACCTCATTATTGTGATTGCGATTTAATATGCAATTATTTTTCTATGTCTTCTTATGTATTTTTCAACGAACACAAGCAATAAGTCAATCTGTTGTAGTTGCAAAAAACTCTACTGTTTTTGGCTCCACTGTAACTCTGTTTCTGCATTTTTTGTATAGCTCCATAGCAACTTGGCTAAAATGTGTGAGCGAGGACATTCTGTACCGCTTATCCATTGTGATGGCCAAAGCCGTAAACCCAGGCTGGTCTATATTAATGGGTCTCATGTCTTTCACTATGAACTACGTTATTGCTCGAGTTATACCCGAGTGCCATTTTGAATTATGTTCATACGGAGTAAAACCTTTGAACAGTTCGGTCAGTGATCCTTGTTGGCTGGTATTTTGCTTGTTTAAGCACTGGTCTTTGGCTTTCTAGCCATGCAACTATCGTAAATGGTTTTGTGGTGTTTTTATAAGTGTTGATAAAGATTTGTGGTGTTACCTTGAGAGGTAGCAACAGCAGCAAGGCAGGTTCTGCACAATACATGTCGTTGCGCAGCGTCTTCTTTTTGAAAGTCAAAATAATTCCAAACCATGGACGTGCTGCTCCTCTTTGGTACCAAACTTTCAGATGTATCAGCTTCTGTCAAGCCTGACGTCATTGTACAACCGGTTAAAACGCAGTGTTGATTTCTCCCGCTCCCTGCTCTGCTTTGCTCCGCTCACTCGCAAGTCATGTAACCAGATCACGTGACCAGTCAAATTGCAGCCTTTGCAATTAGAAAATCTCATTTTATCCTATCGCGATATTATTGCAAATGCAATTAATTGTTCAGCCCTAGTTTAGGCTCGTCTATCAGTTATGCATATTGATTATACAGTTCACAAGTTTTGACTTGATCTGCTTTGAAATGTTAATATCTTGTTCTGTTAATTTATTTTATTTATTAACCTTTATTTAACCAGGCAAATCCCATTGAGATCACAGATCTCTTTTGCAAGGAAGGCCTGGGTCTGAAGCCTAACATACATGTTTTTGGTCTGTGCGAGGAAACCAGAGTACCCGGAGAAAACCCACGCAAGCACGAGAACAACATGCAAACTCCACACAGAAAGACCCCAGGTCCAACCGGGGATTGAACCCAGGATCTTCTATATATAAATCACTATGTATACTATATAACTTTGAAAAATTACATGTGTATTCTTCGAGCTTAAAAGGCCGCCTCTGGAACTGTGAGGTGTTTTGTGTGTAATAGTTTATCTGAAGGGCAGAGAAAGCCCAAACGTGACAGCCATGCTTTAGTCACTGTGTTATTTAAGGCTGTGAAGCTCCATTTGATAGGTCAAATCTTTATACTGGACGCTATGGTATTAGATAGCATGTTTTCAACGAGCTCTGCTCACATGATACTTACTGTTTGTATCAAAATACATTCCCAGCCACATGATGACGGGGCCTTTCCACACTTCACGGCTGTAATTAATGACAAAGTCATTTTCCTCTGTGCTCTGGATGGTCAGAAGCCCTAGAATAAGACACAACAGTAATAACGTAAGCACAAAAATGAGAATTAAGCCAATTTGACGCATGTTCTTTGAACAATGGATTTCATAAAATTTGACGTACCAAATCCATGGCAGAGACTTGTCGCTCTTTCAAAAGTGTAACTCTTGATACGGTCTTCTTCTCCGTGGAGAAAGTGGTAACACTTGTTTCCATTGGGCACCCAGGTGCGTCCATCAGCTGGGCAATCTAAAAAATAATAATAATTCAACTTGACACCAATGTATTAAGAAGACTGTTGTAGGCGGCCATTTTCATACCAAGTCTTAATCAATAGCTTAAAAATACAAGATGCTTTAAATCAAGTCCAGAATTTAATTCAAAATCTTACTTCTAACCTACAAAGCTCCCAACAACCTAGCTCCATCTTATATTTGAGATCTTATTGTTCCATATTTTCCCAACAGAACACTTCACTCTCAGACTGCAGGCTTACTTGCGGTTCCTAGTTTCCAAAAGCAGAGGGAGGAAGATCTTTCAGTTATCAGGCTCCTCTCTGGAACCAACTTCCAGTTTCTGTCTGTAAGGCTGACACATTGTCCAGTTTTAAGACTGGGCTTAAGACTTTCCTTTTTCATAAATCCTATAGTTAGGGTTGGCTTGTTATGCTACCATAGGCTTAGACTACTAGAGGACAAATTGACCTCATTTCCTTAAATGATTTGCTAGAATTGAGTAGTTTTCATTTAAATTCAATTCAAAAATACTTTATTAATCCCAAAGGGAAATTATTTGTTCTTGTAACTCGTTATCCTCATTTCATTAAGATATGTTATAGATACTGATGGCTGTAGGCAGGAAGGATCTCTTGTAAAGGTTCATCCCACAGTGGATCCTAAGAAACTGGCTGCAGATGCCGTCCAATCCGTCCACCCAGCCTCTCAGTTCCCCTCGGCTGTAGGACCGCCCGAATGCCGGGCAGAACTCCTCCCAGAGCGATGGCCACTCCTCCCAGCAGCCTGCAGAGCTCCTCATCGCTCAACAGAGTCAGCAAAACGAAGTTGCGGGGGCAAATTGTCCCGCAGCCTGGGGGCCACTGACTGAAAGGCCCTGTCCCCTTCAGTTTTCAGCCACGTACTGTAGGTGCCGATGGATGATCCTGTCCTTCCGCTGTCATGAGCCATGTTTCCAGCTGCTAGTTCCAGGATCTCAGTGGACAGGCACTCGAGCACAGCTGGCAGGTAGATGAGAATGCGTCCACAGAACATCCTTTCAACTCATTTGAGATTTGGGGCTGTAGTCGAGATATTATTAGAGCTTTTGAGATGTTAATCAGCTGCTGTTGGTTGTAGAAAACTGCCTTGTTGCCATGGTTACGCATCATAACAAATGTCCAAAACAAAACAAAAATGTCAGTAAAAATGCTTCCAGCTGCACAGCATCCGATACCAGAGGAAACAATCATCCCAAAAAAATGTGATTTACATCCAGAAAAAGAGGAATTAAAGTTTCCAAAAGCAAAATCTCAGAATGAAAGTAACAGAGATGCTCCGACATGCAGCCACCTTGAGCGGTGCAATGCTAAAATTCTTGATTTGATACTATTTCTATCTTAACATGTGATTCTTGACCTGCCATTGTGTATCTGTTTCTCTCAAACCCAGCCAGTCGAAGCAGATGGCCACTTGTCCTGAGCCTTTCTGCTAAAGGTTCCTTCCTCACGAGGGAGTTTTTCCTTTCCACCGTCGCCTTCATGCTCGCTCAAGACGAGAGTTCTGCAATGGGAGTTAAATTCAAAGCAGTCTGCTCCTCAGATAAATAGTTAAATTATTATTTTTATATATGAATGTTTCTGTTCAGTGCTCTGAGAGGACTTCTGTTGAGACTTGGCACTATATAAATAAACTGAATTGAATTTTGTTTGGCAGAACTCGTTCTTTAGCAGCAACAACAAAAAACAAAAAATTTCAGACAAATTATAGCACCTTATAAAAATTACAGTTTCATAATTACATAGTGTAACACTTGTTTTGTAGCTGGACACTATTTGAGTCACTGATTATCAAGATGCTGTACATGTTGTTGTGCTAACTTTTTCCAGCGTTCAGCTGCATCAGCACATTTCTAGAGGACTGCACTCAGATTGTACTCATACAAAGTCTAATAAACTCAAGTGTCTTTTGCTGACGTGTTCTCTAGGAAGAGTTTACCGAAGAGGAGCAAAGATGCTCGCTTCTTCGTTTTCATGAGGCAGATTGTTGGTGCAGACAAAACTTGAAGTTATTCCTCGAAATCATAAACATTATTTGGTTGTTGATCTGCTAGAAACCTTGTTCGTCGTGTTGAATGCCATAACTTATAAATTCAGTAAAGCCGACCTTTCACTTAAGACACGTTTCTGAAAAGAGGAGCTGCTGAGTGACAGGGTCTATAGTTAAAAAAAACAACAAAAAAAAACTTTATTTGAGCAAAATTGATAAAAAATTATAACTGTGCTGAGATTTTCATTATTCCACCTCTTTTAAATTTTATTTGTGCCATTAGTGTAGCTAGCACTGCTAACAGCATCAGCAGTTCTTTGGCTCAAAGTTTCACAACAGACTCTGCCAACACTTCCAGATCCCGCCTGCTCCGTGACAAAGGTTGAAAGTTTAGAAAGATAAAACACAGCTAAAATCCATTTATGTGTACTTTCTCCTTGCTGCCAGCCAGTGCTTGAACCCCCTTCCCCCAGCTTGCATGATTAACAGCTGATATACCACCCAGGACAACAGCTTCAATATTTCCATGAGTCAAACTCTACAGGCCTCAGAAGGTTAAATGCTTAACAAAAAAACTAATAGAAAACTGGACAGTGTGACTCGGTTGTGTGGGTTGCCAGATAAAAACCTCTTCTCTTAAAGAAATTAGCAGCACTTGCAGCACAACTTAGGCTTGGGGCAAACTATTACAGCCCCCTCTAAAATAGGACAGACACAACTAAAAGGAAGCTGTTTGACCACGAAGCACAGATTGATGTGAAGCATGGTTGTGGATGGTTGATGATGTGGGCTTGTTTTGAATTCCTGTGGAGGCGCAATAATCCAAAGTACTGGTAATCTAGAGTCAACAGCGAGCCCATCTGTCTGCTGATGTTTGACCTGAATTGGATAATACTACAGGACAAAAATGTTGAGCACATTATCAAATCTACAGGAGAATGGCTGGAAATGAAAACAGTGCTGTGAAGGTCCAAAGCTCAACCTGACAGAGGTGCAGAAGAATCAAAAACTAATGCCTGTAAATGACGTGAAAGAGCACTGTAAAAAAAGAGTTTAAATATAAGACCAATAATAATAGGAAATAGAAAATGATTTCTTTATAAAAAAATGTATTTATGCTAAACTTTACCACTTACAGAAAAGTCTTGAAGCCCTTGTATTGGATTTGGTTTTTCCACGTACTACTTCTGCATTCTGGCTCACATTTAGTTAAAAATAAGTAGTCAAAAACCAAATAACCTTCTAAAGTCACATACAACCTTGGACAAAAGAAATGTGTTGTTAGTGTTTAAAACAACAATCATCTGGTACAAAATAAAGTGAGAAACATTTAAGAGCTAATTTTGTGGCGAATAAACCTATGATTATAGATTAACCTATGTAGCTGCTACTTTCCTACTGGCCATCGATTATGGTGACATTATTTACATGAACGCTCCTACAAGCACCTTGCAGATGTTGGATGTCGTCTACCATGGAGCGCTAAGATTCACAACTAGTCTGGTTGTAACTACTGTACTCTTTGGTCAGTTGGACATCATTGACGTCACGCAGACTCTCCCACTGGTACATTTTCATCTTCAAATCACTTCTTGGTCTGCTGCCTTCATACATCTCCTCCATGTCACTGCGAGAGTGCAGCTACAGCGTGCGTTCTCAAGACATCATTACCTGCGGTGTCCCCTCAGTGCGGACTGAACTCGGTAAAAAGGAGAATATAGGGTGCAGTGGTGGGTACGGTAGTTACAGCCAGTTATGAATCTTAGTGCACCATGATAGACAACATCCAACATCTGCAGGGTTCTTGTAGGAGTGTTCATGTAAATAAAGTTACCGCAGTCAATGGAGGGAAGGAAAGTCGCAGCTACAAGGTGTTTCCTAGCATTCAGAGTTAAACAGGATCCATTTCTGAAAAAGAAACCCAGTTTAACTTTCAATTTTCTTACTAGGTTTTCCATGTGGAGCTTAAGAGAGAGATGCGAATCGACCAAGATACCCAAATATTTGTAGGAAATCAACAAACTCAATAGGAGCACCATTCATAGATAAAATCGAAGGAAGAACTGCTGCCACCGACTTCCTGTTTGAAAACAACATCTCTTTGGTTTTGTCGGCGTTTAGGACAAGTTTGAGATGGAACAAATCTGACTGAATGATGTTAACAGCAGATTGCAAGAGCTGAAAAACAGCAACTGTTTTAACTCAAACAACTGTGTCATCAGCATAGAAATGTAAGGCTGCATCAGGGATGCTCTGACCTACATTAACCTATGTAGATTATAAAGAGAGTGGGTGCTAAGACTGAGCCTTGTGGTACACCATTGTTAGTCGTTAAATAACTGGAAGAAGTACCAGTATGTTGAACACATTGCCTCCGATCTGAGAGATAGAGAACCAACCAGTGGTGTAAACTGAGAAACCAATTTCTGAGAGCTTACGTCATGGTCCAGTGTCAAAAGCTTTAGACAGATCTAAATATCAGGTCCTATAAATAGATCCTATTTATCAGGTCTCGTAAATGAGTCCCCAAGGCTCAGTGGGATTAACCTGTATAAATAAAAAGTTGAATGAAAAGTAAAGTGCAGCACAATAATCCTTAGCATCCAGTGCTTGAACGGCACTTCTTACTCTGCTTCTGTAACACCTTGCAAAAAGATCTGAAGCTGTCCACTTTGGCCTCTTTATGGGATTTTAAACAACTGACAAGCTCGATAGAAAATTCAAAGCAAACGTGGTCCTGTTTATAGTATTTTACCTTGTTTTATAAAAGGCACCTTGATTCAATTTTGTTTTTATAACTACTTTTATTTTATTTGCATTTTATTGTTGTATGTATCTTATCTGTGGTTTTGTCTAAAACAGGTCTTGTAAACGAGTCCTCGTGACTCAGTGAGACTAACCTGCACAAATAAATATTGAATGATCAATAAGACCGAAAGACAAATAAGAAACGCTGGGATTATTCAATTTTATTGTAGCGCCACCCAAAACAAACTTCTAATATCTAGAGAGCTACCTGACAACAAAGACTGTTTTGTGGTGCAACCTTTGTTTAGACCCAGTTTCCTGTGGTTGAAGAGGAAGACCACATGGGGGAGGACCCCGCTTCCAGAAAACAAAAGTTTCCTGCAGTGGTCAAAGTGTTCTTTAGATTACAAAGTTTTATCAAAGCAGACTTTGGCCTTTATGGTATACTTTTAAAATGCGTAAAAAATAACTCCAATAAGCACCACATTAAAGCAACATCCTGCAGTGCAGGGACTCGAGCCTCCTGCTGTCCGGCCTCTGACGTCATTTTGACCCAAGGGCAGCAGGAGGGTTAATAAATATACAATCAAAGCTGACATCACCAAGTTAAACCTGTAACTGTCTATTATTTTATTTTAAACACAAAGGACATATATTTAGAGTTGAGAGCATTTGTCCACATTTGTTTTAACTCAGTGTTACTGTAGCAAAATGTTGCCAAACCCAGTCCTAAGAAAGCGGTCACAGCTTTTTAATCTTTTGTTTCAACTTCCTGAGAAAACACTTCCTCTTTACCATCAAGTTAAAATGGACGGTTCCCGTTGAGCTTTTCGTTTGTCTTACAAAGATATGAATCATTTGGATTAGAGTCAGAGTTTCGCAACAAAACAAAGGCGACGTTTTTGCTCGTTAACCGAGCACGCGAGTTGCATTCGGGAAAGTGAATGTCTCCTGTTGCGTTCACTGACGCGTTTAATCCGTCGAAACCTTCGGTGCGTTTAAAGTTCAGCAACAACAAGCGGGCCTACTCGGTCTTCAGTCTGAAAAATAATTATAACAATAAAACATAATGCTCGTTTAGCTTAACGCGAATATTTCCAAGTCTTACCTTCCGCACTAACAGCCTGCAGGCCGACACACACGGCGAAAACACAGCTTGTTAAAGAGTGGAGGAGACGGGGACTTTTCTTTCGCAACTCCATGGCTGCCTGCATCAGGAGACTGCTGCTGGTTTCCAGTCCACAGCAGCGTGAGCAAAATCCCACCCACCGCTTTAACACTTGGCAGCAGGCTCCACAACAAAGCATGAGCTGCTAATAATACATCCCTCACGCACGGACTTCTTCCAACGCTGAAACGGAAAACATTTTTTTTTTTTTTTTTTTAGAATAAAGCTGCAAAAAAGGAAACTTAAACTTCTACAACATCATTTTTATGTTAATTTCCCAATAAACTATTCAGATAAATGTGTGCAACTTTAAGTAAAGGCTTAATTGATTATTAAGCCGTTTTATTCACATATTTTTTTAATTGTGGGGATAATTTTAACAAGTTTAATACTTGCACACATGAACCTGTAGATGGCGCTGCAGGCACAGTGTTCACCACATTAAACCTCAATGCTTTTAATAGTTTGAATCTCTATTAAGATGGTGGTGATTCCATCCCACAGTTTACATGTAAAACTGTAAAGTGTTTTGTTTTTAAGAAGAAATTTCATTTTCTGTAAAAATGCAGAATGGATGCTGGGTGACTTTACTGACTTGGTTAAGTTAAACTGATCACAAGACTAAAGCAACAAAATGACAACTAAAAGCAAACATTCTGCAACATAGTGGGCTAGCTAATTTAAACACAAATCAGGAAAAAAACCAGCAGATGAAAAGCAAAAATTTGGAAATATAGTAGCTAATGGCTAAAATTAACAAACCAGTAGCTAGTTGCTGCAGAGCCTACACTCTGAGACCTTGACCTCTTTAAGTGGCTTTAAGAATCTGTTGGACTCCTGGCAAGGACCAGTGCAGACATGTTCCTGTTTTTAGTTGTCTACATTCGCCTTATGATCTAGCTATTTTTGCCATCTTATTTTAAATTGTATTTTAAAAAAAATCTGTATGCCTCTTTTATGATTGTCCATTGTTGTCATCATTCTTTGTTGAAATCAGGCCTCTCTTGTAAATGAGTCCTCAAGGCTCAATCAGACCTGTCTAAATAAAGGTTGAATGAATGAAAAACACTCACCTGGACAGGGCAGACAGCACTGTAAGATTCATGTTCTTTGACTTTTCCAGTGCTTTTAACACCATGAAACCTGCTCTACTCTGCAGTAAGCTCCTGGACGGGCAGGTGAATGATTTGCTGGCCACCTGGATCAGAGACTACCTCACAGGTCGGCCACAGTATTGTGTATGTTCCTTTGTACTGAAACTCTGGCACAACAATTTCCTGTGGGATAAATAAAGTTCTATCTTCTCTTTATTGCCAAAGGCTAAAGCCCAAACCAGCAAAACAGTAGCCAAAAGTCAAAACTGGAAAATACTAGATAAAGCCTTAAATTAGAACACAGTAGCAACAAGCTAAAACAGACAAAAAACAGTAGCTAAAAGACAAAAACAGTAGCTATAACCCAAATTGGGAAAACAGTAGCTAATTGCTATGAATGTCAAAACGATAGCAAAAAGTCCATCTAAGCAAAACAGTGGCTAAAAGCCAAAACTGTAAAAAAAAAAGTAACTAAAAGCTGAGATTAGCAAAACGGTAGCTAAAAGCCCAAATCAGGAAGCTTAAATTCAAATTGAGAAAAATAACTAAAAGACAGAACAACAGCTAAAATCTAAAGCCAGCAAAATGGTAGCTAAGAGCTAAAAATAAGCAAATATGCTCAAATAGATTTCAAATAGCACAACTTTTTTCAAGGATTTTAAAAGTTCTTACAGCCTAAATAACAAGTTAAATAGTGTAAAAGTTACAAAAAAAAAACAAAAGTGGGGAAAGCTCAAAAGTCCAGAATGAGCTGAACAATTTAATATACAAATAAAATAGTTGAAAGTATGAAGTAGAGTAAAAAAATACATAAAAAAACCCTATGACCAGGAAAACAATACAAGTACCGTAATATCTGGACTATAAGCCACTACTATTTTCACACACTTTGAACCCCGCGGCTTATACAATGCTGCGGCTAATTTATGGATTTTTATTCATTTAAAAAAAAAAATACAGGCCAACAAGCTTCCTGGCACCAAAATATTTATCTTCTTCACACCCAGGAGCTCACATAGCTGCCCAATACCCTCATCATGGAAAACACACAAAGAAATACATAGGATGCCGCTTTCAAGTTAAAGGCGATCGATCTGGCAGTGGAAGAAGCAAATAGAGCTGCTGCACGTAAACTAGGTGTTTCCTGGTAGGCTACTCTATTTATTTAATTATTTTAATCAGCTGCTTTATAAACACTGTTCAGAAAAAAAAAAAAACTTACTGTACGTATTTGTGTAGGTTATCGGTACATATATAATTAAAAGTTTTAAAACATTTTCAGTGTAAATATCTCATGTTACACATGGGTACCCGCGGCTTATAGACAAGCACGGTCTATACGTGTACAAAACTGTATATATTTATTTATTTAGTGGGCGTGGCTTATATTCGGTTGCGCTCAATAATCTGGAAATTACGGTAGCCTACTTGTTTTTCCCTGCAAACTTTATTTGAGCTGAAGTGAAAAGAAGCAAGACATTAAAATCTTCATGTGTAACTAGGTAACATAATGTCATCACAAGGTTATAAACAGGATTTACGGAAGTTGAATTGATTATGATGGCAATTTAACATACTGTATGTATGTATGTAAGTATATGCTTTTCATGTGCTTTGTAACATTTTCTTCAGAAAACTGCTGGGTCTAATTATTGATTTAACAATGCTGCCTGAAGAAGTCATCTGAAACTAGGGGTAGAAGCAGTAAACGGGAGGGAAGGCTTCAACTCTACTGTTTGTAGGCGCATGTGGCACAAACACAGACAGCTGGAGCGCGAGTTTTGCTCCTCGTCTGGAGCTTGTGGCGTCCCGTAGGGTGGCACAACACTCTGCAGGGTACTGTGGGGGGGACCCATCTGCCTTGGAGAGGCCCGCTCACAGACGGCTACATCCGAGCAATTAGAGCATCCCCATGCTCTCGCCCTGCACCATACCCTCTGATACCCAAACCCACCCTGTCCAGGCCACGAGTGTTGTCAGAAATACCATGTGACAGTGTTGATACAGGACTTTAACCTTCTGGGTCCAAAGCAAAGCCACTGATAAACAACAGAACAAAGCAGCTGAACATTTTGCCTAAAGGAATACTTGTTTCTTTAACTGCTGTTTAGCGTGAATTGATTTTTTCCATGTTTTACTTGTAAATAATTAAGCAAAATGTTTCAAGACTGGCCATAGTTTAATGCTTTGATCCATTTTAGGATGACTTTTTTCCTTATGAAAAACACCCACTAAATGTGAGAAGCAAAGTGAGAGACAGCTTCGAGTTTCAGTCCTCTCAAACTGCAGCCAAGTTAGATCAAGCATCTTCTGAACAATAGTTTTTTTTTTTTTAAAAAAAGGAAAAACAGAAAGAAATCCCTTTTTTTTTTTAGCAAAGCAAGGGTGTACTCAGGTAAAGCAGAATTTAAAAAACAGCAGTATAAAAGACCAAAATGACCACAGATAAAAGCACAATTTTTTGTTTTTTATTCAAAAAAAGAATAAAGAAATCAACAGAAACCTTTGGCAACAATAAACTCAGTGATGGAAAAAAAAAGAGCTTTAAAACAAATTTTATATAAAAAAAAATAAAAATAAAACAGAGATTCCTTGAACTGTACATACAAGTTTCCTTTGATAAATGTGGCACGAATAAAAAAAAAAGTTACTTTCATAGCTCTTCCTCAAGCTGTCGTGTACAAAAATCTTCATAAGTTAAGAGCATTTTTACATAAGTTAACGAATGTTCAACGTGGTGGTTATTTCTAGGAGCTGGTTTTAAGCACCTCTTTAGCTCTTGACCCAGTCTATGGCACTTGGTTCAGACACCACTTAGCAGCATAAACCTCACAATGACAGTATTACACGTCAGTCTCAGGCATCACAAGGAAATCTCAAGTAGAATCATGGCAGCCGTTACATTCCCTGCACATGCCAGGAAACGTAGCAGAATATGCTCTTTTATACCAATAACATATTTTTAAACCACAAAACTTGTTTGTTCTTGTAGGTCTTAGTTTAAATCTGCCTCTTAAATCTGCTATAAAAGAGATGGGAGAACATGGAAACGAGTTTCCGCTTGTGATTACAACTACACAAAATAAAAACGGGTAGAGGAAAAGCAAACAGCTGAACGTGGCTCCTGAGTGTGATATTTGGTCTGAAAGGGGGTGGGGGGGCTGGACCTGCTAACCCGACCCAATACAGAGGAGAAAGAAAACTCTGAGGTAGATAACCGGTCTGATCGTAGACCAGGACGAATCACAAGCTTTGGGGAGGACACTGCATAAACTTGATTTATTTATTTATTTATTTATTCTAACCACAGCTTTTTTAATAGAATATAATTTTAGATCGCTGTTCTTTATTTTAATTACTCTACTCTCCCCCAAAATATTTTCCAATAATGCTGAATGTTAAAATGTTCTTATTATGAAAGGGGCACTTGTTTTAATCCTTCTTTATGCTCGTTCACACTGAATACCGAAGAAAACTGCACATATACAAAAAAAGGCACACTGTCCAAACTGTGAACGAGTTTGCAGAGTTACTAAAGAGTCGAAGGGTGACGAACCATCTGACAATATTTGGTGAAGTTTGTTTCCCGTCAGAGAGGCAATATAAAATACACACGTTTATCAAACTTTACCTAAATTCCATTTGTTTTATACAGCTGCATCTAAAAAAAATGAAACGTGAAAAAGTAAATAAAAAAAGTCGATCATTTCAGGTATTACCGAACTGAACTAGAAAGTTCCTGGAGAAACTTTGACGGGGACGTCCACGTTACAATTTTGATTTGACAGTGTTGTGTTGGGGTTCGCTGTCAGCTACCATCATACTAAATTTCAGCTTAAAATGGCAACAACAACAAAAAAAAAATCAATGAGTTGTAGTCTTTTTTTTTAAGCTATGGTGGCCATCTTGGATTTTTTAATTTGGTTTCAGCACGTGACGGGGAAGTTTCTCAGCTATAACCACACCAAATTTCAGCTCCATGTGTAAAAATAGCTGAGTTGAAGCCATTTAAATTGAGCTTTGGCAGCCACCTTGATTTTCTTTTGAAATTCATTACTTATTGGGCATTTGTTTCAGCTACCACCACACCAAATTTCAGCTTAATATCTCTAAAAATGGATGATTTACAGTATTTTTCCTTTTTAGCTTTGGTGACCATCTTGGATATTGGATTTGCAACAAGAGGCTATGAAAAATGACTGATAAAAAATGGCGTCTTTGTTTGCAAATTACGTCGCCAATAAAAGTAATAGCACACACCACGGTGCCAAGCTGGTCATTTTGATATATAATTTCTGGGGTACACATTGTGGTTTAGGCCACATTAAAGTTGACGGAAGAGTAAGCTATAAAGTTAAGAAACCCTGTCAGGTGGATAATAATAGGTGACTGCCTTATACTACGCAGTCCGTAATTACAGATATTTCAAGCCTTTTTTTCTTGTAATTTTGATGATTATGGCTGTCCTGCTGGAAAATAAAATGAGCATCTCCATAAAGCATTCACAAAGAGCTCTAATACGTCCTGCTAGACTATGGACTTCAGAAAACACAGTGGACCAACAACAGCAGAGGACATGAGCCCAAACCATGACTGACTGTGGAAACTTCTCTGGACTCCAAGCAACATGGATTCTGGGCCTCTCCTCTCTTCCTGCAGACTCTGAGACCTTGATTTCCAAATTAAATGCAGAATTTCCTTGAATCTGAAAAGAGGACGTTGGACCACTGAGCAACAGTCCAGTTCTTTGTCTCCTCAGCAGGTAAGACACTTCTGACGTCTCTGCTTCAGGAGTGACTTGACTTCAGGAAGGAGACATTTATAGCTCATGTTTAGATGTTAATCAGCTGATTAGGATGAGTTTACAATATTGAACCTCTTCACAATATTCTAGTTTTCTGAGAATTAATTTTATTTTTTCATTATTTGTAAGTTATAATCATCAAAATTACAAGAAATAAAGGCTTGAAATATTTCACTCTATGTGAAATATTATACAAGTTTCACTTTCTGAAATGATTGACAAAAAAAAAAAAAAAAACTTTTTCACAATATTCTAATTTTCTAAGATGCACCTGTATTTCTTTCCTTCTCTTTCCACAATCAATGTTTTTTTTTACATATTCTATCAAAAGAACAATGAACATCACCTCAAATGCAAGAGCAAAAATAAAATAATAAACTTGTTATCCCACTAGTTGTTTTTATTCTAAAATACCATGATTTTTAAAAGGCAAAATTGAAAACTTGATTTCATTAAAAAGTTTTGACTCATTCCAACATCCACAAAGTGTAACTGAATAAATATTCAGTTCCATAAATCAAACCATTTGTTCTAAAAAAAAAAAAAAAAAAAAATCGACTTCTTTTTTAGTCTTTAGAAATAAGAGCACACTGTTTTTCTTTTGTCACTTTTTAAAGTCTTTTCCTTAAGCCTGTCTTTGCTCTGTGGAGGTCTGCGTTAAACTGCTGCATGAAAACTACGAAGGAGGGTTTAAATCACTGTGAAACTCAAAGAAAAAATTACTTTACAGGAAAACAACACTGAACACTTCACCATAGCAACACAAACATGCACCAAGCACAAAACATTTTCAAAATGTCTGGCAAAAAAAATAAAATAAAAACATATTTACAACTAGTCATTTTGCACAGCTAGTCACATGACTTTTTTTTCTTGTCTCCTATGGTAAGCCCTTTGTAAAAAATAAAACAATTTCTAGTATGAAAATAAAACTTCTTTTTTTAAATAGAATATGAATCATTTGATGAACTCTCTGAACAACGACCCAGAAAAAGTCTCACTTGAACATTTGCAACACTTGCAAAAAAACAAAACAAAAAGAAAAACAGTAAATGTTCCTTAGCGTCCACTGGATTTGTAGACATGATTGTCCAATTGTTACCTCGGCACTACTTGCTTTGTTGGTAGGAATAAGGGGAATGATTGCCAGATGAGTCCACTTGCGACTGTACTCCATTTTCCTGGAACAAAGCATGAAACAAAATCTTTCACTGTTGTCCTCAATTTTGTTGTTGTTTTACACACAGACTGCTACACTGTTGTCTCACTCACCTCCACAGGAACAGATGTTGTCTGCATGTGTGCATACTGTGGGATATAAGCTCCTTGCAAAGCTGTGTTGGCCATAAACTGCAGGGAAAGAGAGAAACGTGCACAACATATTCAAGGATTTAACATTTTTGAGTTCACAACGGCACTTTATCATTTATTTAAATTAGGAAAGAACGTGCAAGCGTGTTTGTGATTGTAGGCAAAGTTCTCTCACCGTTCCTGCACCACCCAGAGTGAGGTGACTCATCTGCTGAGTGAGAGGGGCCATCATGGAAGCAGGCTGCAGTGACACAGATGGGTCTATAGAGGGCGATAGTACCGCACCCTTTAGGAGCAGAGACAAGAGGAGAATCACATTTGTTGGTGTCAACTTAAGTCTCAAATTGCCACAAAGGAATATTTGTCTTTAAAGGAAGGAAATACTTGTAAAACATGTGAGATTCATTAGATCTCAGTTTTAAGTGAGACTGAACATCAGGCGAAGATAACCTGAGTAATCTAAAGTCAACCATCAAGCAAGCTGTCTATGAGCATCTTGGCTGGCCTGGTGCATCAGGCAGTATTTTCCTCATCTAATGGCCCATTTCCAAATAAAAAAAGGCTCCTCTCTCAATTTAGAGCCATCTGCTATAAAATATTAAGCATCTGTCATTACAGGCACTCATCTATAAAGAGTTGTTTTTACATTCCTGCACAGACGGTTTAGTCCTTTAGTTTCACCTTATGCATATATCATCCATACTGAGGCTCTCTGTTTACAGGAAAATGGTTCAGTTCTGTTGCAATCACAGAGGGAAATATTTAGGAAGAACACTAGTAAAGAGGAAAGAGATTAGATGTTGCATTTACCGGATGCTGCATGATGTAGGGTTGATGAGGCACCCAGGAAGGGTTCTGCACCTGGAACGTCAACAAACAGAATCTGTTAAAGCGCCGCCACCGTGCAGATGATCACATGCTGCTGTGAACAATACACAAGCACAGCAGCGCCTTCAGACACACAAAGGCAGATCTTTGTTTCAGAACCTCAGTTAATTTCTTTAAATGCGCTTTCCTTCCACGAAAAAAACAAGGATTCCTCGCTAAATGATTGACCATCTATTAAAGAGAAGGATCCACACCTGATATGCTGACACTGCAGACATGTACGGAGACATGGACGTTTGAGCGATCATCCTGCCTGAAATACTGTAAGGTGCAGGAAAAAACCTGGAAACAGAATTCAGAGGTTTCATAAAATGAAAAGTGTGACGGCAGAGCAACTGTTGTGTGTTAATCCAGTTTACCCATTTTGCATAGCAGCTGTACTGGGGTCATATGTCAGAGTCATTCCAGCCTGAGACAAAAACAAAACAAAACTCAAGTTTATCCTCTATAGTGAGGTATGTGGGGGGAAAACTGTGATGATCTGTTTAGTCTGGGCTTCATATCACCAAAGGCTCTCTGTTACAAAGACATGACCTTAAGGACAGATGACGAGAGATATTTAGACCAAAAGGTGCCTCTAGTAAAGCAAAGTACTGAGCTACCAGTTCACATGATGAAGTCTACCAGGAATGAAGACCACAGACGCAATTTCTGAATTAGCTAAACAATTGTTTACATCAATGTGACTTATTGAACAAGTCTTTTCTTGATCTTACAAATCCATTATGTGCATGCAAAACTTGTAGATTCTGCAGACAAGAGACCAGAGTTTGGCAGCTGAGGCTCACCATTGCTGTAGCATAAAAACATAACAAGCTCAGAGGCAGAACCTGTTATTCTGTTGGTCTGAATACAAACACTGATCAGCCTACACTTACAGGACATTGCTGAAAACACCAAATGTTCAAACCAGAAGCTAAATGATCAGAGCTGATGACTGCTCTGACTGGCTTACACTCTGTTTGTTACTATTATCATTTTTGCTTTTATTCAGTAGGTTTTACACACAGAGAAAAACTGGAGAAACTGCATTTATTGCTTATTGCTGAGGAATTTGCAGAAAAACAGCTGAAATTAGCTAAAACTTGCTGAATTGTAGCTGAAATTGAAGAACAGGCCTCAATTAGCAGAAGAAAGCAGAAAGAACATAGTTGCTGAATAAAATTTAAATAAGCAGAAATTAGCACAAAAAATAGAAAATTAGCTGAAAAAGCTTAAATTAGCAACAAAAAAAACCCAGCTGAAAAGTAGCTGAAAAGGTAGAAAAAAGCTTAAACAACCAGAAAGAAGCAGAAAGAACTGAAATGAGTTAAAATTAATGGGGAATTAGCTGAAAAAGCTAAAATTGACATAAAACAGCTAAATAGTAGCTGAAATAGCAGAAAATGTTGACACTAGCAGAAAAAAGCTGAAATGAGTATAACAAGCTGCAGTTAGTAGAAATAAGTTAATTAGGCTGAAAGTAGCAGAAATTACAACAAAAAATTTGAATTTATCTGAAAACATTTGGAATTACCTCAAATCTGCTAAAAATGTAGCCGAAATGTACAACGAGCTTAAATTAGCAGAAGAAAGAACTAATTTGCTCAGTTAGGCTGAAAGAAGCAGACATGAGCACAGAAAGGTGGAAATTATTTGAAAAATGCAGAAATTGAACAACAACAACAAAAAAAAACAGCTGAAAAGGAGATAAAAAGGCAGAAAGAAGCTTACATTACCAGAAGCAAGTGGTGAGAGCACATTTTTGCTGAAATGGGCTGAAAAAAGCTGAAATAAATGCAAAAAATGTGGAATTCGCTGAAAAGGCTAAAATTAGCATAAAAACAGCTAAATGGTAGCTGAAATAGCAGAAAAAGATTAAACTTGCAGAAATAAGCTGAAAGGAGCATACCAAGCTTAAATTAGCAGAAAGAAGTTAAGAAGCACAAAAATGTTAAAGTTAAGTCAAATTTATTTATAAAGCACATTTAAAACAGAAACTGTTACCAAAGTGTTTGTAGTTAGCAGAAAGAATCTGAAAGGAGCACAACACAGCTGAAAAGAAACCAGCTGAAATTAGGTGAAAGTAGCTGAAAAGGTTTAAATTTGCAGAAGGAAGCTGAAAGAAGCTGAACCAGAACAAAATGTGAAAGGAGCAGTAAAAGGTTATAAACAGATCTAAAGATTTGAAGGATGTAAAATGAGCTCAATTCATTTTCTATGAGAAAGAAAAATGGCAGAAAATGCTAAATATTTCAGAAAGCTAAAGTTGCACAAATACCAAAAGTCAGAGCACCCTTCAAATAGCACAAAAACTGTGGAACGAGAAAGACGCTGAAAAACATATGGAAGAAAAATGGATCACAATAGTGTGAATGCTTTATAAACATTCACACAACTAAAGTTTGTTGTGCCTCTGTACTAGGACATTGTTGTGAATGAACAGTTTCTTTTCTGCAAGTCCCTGACGACTCAGACTGCTTCACGCCCATTTCTTTCCCTTTTTCTGTTTAACAGAATCCGTTTACTGCAGCAAAGTCAACTTTAGATCAACCAGTTTGATCAGCGATCACATTTCAGATACATGTAATCACATTTTCCAGTCAGAATCAAACCCTTCAGAATCTCTAATGGAAGAACTCTGGAAAAGTGCTGATGTTTAAATGCACCTTACCTGCTGTTTATACGAACACCTAAAACTTAAAGTTTGCCGTATGTATTTACATGTATTACATGTATTTTGCCTGTTAAGGGTTTACGGTTTGCAGCTCAGGTTCTCACTCCATCCTGGGGCTCCACTTACCAATCGAGAGTCGCCGTCCCTCGCCCAGCCACGACCGTTATGACCAAATTTATTTTGACTTTGTCTTTTTTTCTGTCCGCCATCAGCAAACTTGCACAACAGTGGTTCAGATGGCACTAAAGAGAGAGAAAGAGCAAACAAAACTAAATGGCATCATGACACACGCATATGGTTATCTGTCTTTCAGGCTACAAAGCCAGAGTACAGATATATTAACCAGTCTGGGAACTGGGACCTGCAATTTAACAGCTGTGGAGCTTAAATCCACTCCCTGTTATAAAGGAGAGGCGGCCTGCAGAGACTCTTTTAGTCTGATAATCCAATTAAAAAGCTTAGAGAGGGAGTGGAGGCCACACAGGGCTGCTTTCTCTCAGTGCCTTTGTCTTTGCTCTGCCACTTCAGGCTGAGTGCATACGATCTCTTCACCACCAGACTCACCGACTCCTGTTGGATGCATTAATCATCTGGACTACCACTTTATCCCACTTATACAACTCTTCCCATTAGAGCTCGAACTAAACCCATCATGGCCAAAAAAAGAACTGACTTTATGTCAGGCATATTTCGTTTTAGAGTATTTCTTTACTATAGAATTACATTAATAATCGTACAACATCCTTACCTGGAACGCCTGCAGGTGTTTTAATGAACTTTCCGTTAAACTGAGAAATGACTGCTTCACATTTTTCAGTTGATTCCATCCTGCAGGTAGAAATAGAAACAGACAAGAGTGTAGCTACTTCAGCGGTAACTCCAGCAACAAGAGCAAACAGTCCCTGCTTCCTGTACACCTTGGAGAGTCGCTGCATCATAGATTTTTATTTTTTTTATCACCCTGTCCATATGGTGCATGCAGAACATTGTGCAACATATCAGTTTATAGTCTCTGCTATTGAGCCCCACACATTGTATGTGGGCACAATGGCAAAGACACGCACCTTTTTCAGAGCACGCCCAGATAAAAACATTCCTATGGTGCAAAGTGATTTTTTTGTTTTGTCAGTCACGGTCTTGGCTTTGTTTGTCGAGTCAGTAAAATGTCAGGTTATACAAGTACAACTGCTGGAAACCAGCATTACATACTGTAATTAAATCTTCAACTCATTGTGAAACTATTCTTTAAACATGGTTTTATAATTGTTCACAAAAGCACAGGCTTCGTTTCCTCTTCTATTGACATTAAAGATTCGCAATAGAGAACTTAAAAATCTTCATAGATATATTTTATCTACATAATCTTGGGTAATGTTTATAGAAATTACAAATGCTTATATGAAAAAAAAAAGATTATTTGTTTAGAATAGCAGAATCAGTTGTGTGGTACTTTTAAAATTGCTATTTTTAAATTAGTAAGACATTCTTCTGTATATTTTTATGACTAAGCTGGTAGAAAGGAAGATTCTCATGTCTTTGTTTCCCTCATTTCTTTTATGACACTGTTCTCTCGTTTACTTTTTCCTTAAATCTTCACTTTCGGCCAAAAGTGCTCAGTGGCAGTCGGGGAGAAATTTGACCTAAAGTGTGATTGGGAATTGCACTTTTAGCCAGGCAGGTTGAAACTGGCTGTGCAGACTTTTGGTCCTACATATACAAACTCTATGGGTTCAAATAAATAAAATAAAATAAACAAATTTATTTCATTATATATATATATATATATATATATATGTATATATATATATATA